TTACAGCTATTTATATTGAGTATCATACCAAAAACTGTCTCAAAAAGATAGGAAAATTATTCTAATATTAAGTACAATAGCAAAAAAAATGATAACTCTGTCCTGGCTAAAACTTGTCAGACTGACGCCACCTAGTGCCTCCACTCAATTTCATTTCTCTCCAGTGACTAGGTCAGGAATCAGAATACACTAGACCAGGGGTGTCAAACTCATTTTGGTCCGGGGGCCGTATCCATCCTACTTTGATCCTAATGGGGCCGGATCAGAAAACTCATGGCATATAAACCCAAAAAATAACAATAAGTTCAAATATTTGTGCAAAGAAACGCAAATCTATTACAGAAATCTTTTAAAATTGATGAACTCTTTCTTTTACAAAATATTATTATGAACAACCTGAAACTTTAAGAAAAATACAATTTCAACACAATGTTTTAACATTAACTTGTGCAAATAGGAATATGTCAGTTTTTCTTGGAAAATCCTGCACTCGGCTCCACTTTTCTCATTTTTGACATTTTTCTAATGAGGTTGTCACGGTCAACAGTCAAAACGATCGTCCTTTAAGAGCGTTTGGAAAGAGACAAGTCTTCATTTGTGCTGCTCTGGTGGGAGGGGCCACGTACAGAGACGCTGGAGACGCTGCTCTGATAAACACCACAGAAAATTAACAATATTTTAATAGAAAATATAATTAAATAAATCAGCCGAGGGCCAGATTAAAGGTCTTGGAGGGCCGGATCTGGCCCCCGGGCCTTATGTTTGACACCTGTGCACTAGACGGTTCGCAAAAACCCCGGAAGTGTGAGTTTGGGCACCAGCCAATTAGCAAAGATCCAGACATTCTGAGATCGAGGATTTAAAGCCGGAACAGAGAGAATGTTTGGTGAATTTTATCAAGGGGAAAGACGTTATTGTCCTTCTTCCTACGGGATTTGGGAAAAACTTAATATGCCATTAGCCCCATTAGCAGCACATTACATATGTCACGACCAAATAGCAGAGATTGGTTAAATAAAAAAAAGTACCATCTACCATCAAGCGAATGATTTCTAATGCTGCGAAGTCAAACAGTTTCCACTAAGTGAAACCGGCTGATGAATCAGGATAGGCTAAAACCACAACCTCCTACGAAAGAAAATTTGTGAGAAAGAGTTAAAGCTGTGATGGAAATGGAAAGAGTAAAAGCAAGACTGTGATTTAAAGTGAAGGAATTTGAGGAGTTATGGGCACCTGTAATACAGTGTGGTTTTTAGTTTAGTTTATTTTACTTATTTAGTCTCATGCACTATTTAGTTGGTGTCCAGCTCACATTGGCTTATAAGACACATAAAACAATAATCAGACAGATAACACATCAAACTTAAAGGTTGTATAGAGGATTTATTTATTTATTTTTTTTAATAATATTTTTTATTTGCAAACTACATCGATTACAACAAATAGGAACCAGACAACATACAAGATACAAGACAGACATTACGACTGAACATTACATACAAATAGGGACAAAGATGACAGGGGTTGGTGACAGTGTGAACCTTATGTGTGTGTATATGCGTGCGTGTGTGTACGTGTGTGTATGTATGTATAGAGGATGTTTTAAGGGAAGAGAAATACAGCGACAGTCCTTTTTCGAATGTTGCACATACGTGGCACCACTTCTCTCCTCCACAGCCTCAGTAAAAACACCTTCTCCTGCCTCCTTAGTCTAGAAATCACGCTTGTTTACAGCCGGTGCGGGTTCAAGAATTACTGTTGAAGTTTCCTGTCTAGAAGTAATTTAGCGACCGACGAGTCAGTTTTTAGACCCTTCGTCTGCTTCAATTCTGATTTTTTTGTGAAATTCGATGTTTTTGCGAGGTCGTTCACATTTCCAATTAAATGTGACTTGTATGTGACTCCAGTGTGAACAGTAAACGGCCCGAAAGTGTCCCGCATGTGACACTGGAGACACGACGACGTCAACCACAGTGATCGTGCTCTGTGTTTACGGAAGTTGTCCAAACATGGACGCAGCATTGAGCACCTGGAGATTTTAAAGTTCCTCTCGTATCGGAGCCAGAACATGAACAACTTACTTGTTTTAAGGGAGGAGATTGAGAAGGAGAAGGACGAGGTTTTTGGTCGTGGTGTTTTGTGGGACAGCGGCAGCGACGTCCGTTGAAAGGAACGTGTGGATGTGGAGACGGAGCCAAGAGTGGTGAGTGGTGATGTGCTTTCTCTTCAGTGACACGGAGTTTATTAACAATTTTCTCCTACTTCAGCGCAGAATAGTGACGTTTGTGTCTTGTTGATAACGTGTAGGTGGATGAATGCACTTTGACCGTTCACATTGAAGTTGCATGTCAAAAGATCAGATATGTATCGATTTAGGACCACATATCCAAGTGTCCTGGGTCACATTTGAAAAAATCGGATCTGTGTCGTTCAGACTGTCATTAAAAGATCAGGTACAGGTCACATAGAGGCCAAAAAATCAGATTTGGGTCACTTCAGGCTGCAGTCTGAACGCAGCCTAAAGGGCCGTTCACACCAAGCCGTCAAAGCGTCCAGTTTCAATGTAAAAGTCGATGTGGACGCGCGACTAGAGCGTCCTGCGTTTTTGCGGTGCGTTTTCGGCGTCGACGCGGCGTGAATCTGGCGTCGACGCGGCGCGTCTTGAGCGTTTTGGCGTCAGCGCTCTAGACGCGCGTCCAAGGCGTCAGCGTCAAGAAGTTGAAAATGCTGAACTTTTCGCGTCCGTGGCGCCGCGTCAACCAATCAGGGACGAGTATCCAGTGACGCAGCGACGTTATTATCAGGAAGCAAGACCCGAGAACCAGAGAGAGAACCACAAACATGAGCGGAGCATGAATATATACGCCACAATCACCGAGACGATCGCGAGGACTACACCAGGACCGGACCAGGACTAAACCAGGACTAGACCGGGACTAAACAAGGACTAGACCCTGAATAGACCGAGATTAAACCACGACTAGACTGGGACTAGACCGTGATTAGACCAGGACTAGACCGGTATTAGACCAGGATTAGACCGGACTAGACCGGGACTGATCTAGTGTCATTAGTGGAGTATAAATATATATACGCCCCGGTCGTCGACCCGATCTCCTCCGCTGATGTTTTATGTCATAAAAACACTCTCTCAGTCTGGTCTGACATTGTTTCGGGAAAAGAGCGGGACCGGGCTCTTGTTTCCAGGGCAACGTACGCGCGTCAAGTATTTTTCTCCCGTTCGTCCACGGCGTCAAAGACGCGCGTCGGGGGCGTCTAAACTCAAATGCAAAGGCTCCAAATAGAGGCGTCAAGGCATTTTTTGATGCTTTGGTGTGAACAGCCCTTTAGAATCACCTCAGTTTGGCTTTGCTCCTTTTCTCCTTCTCTTCTTCTTTCAGCGACCTGATAAACAGATTTTCTTTTGCGGCGAACTGGTCATGGATTCTCGTCCACCATCGCAACAAACTTTAGCTTCCTCGCAGTTCGCACACAGTCCGAAAAAGCCTCTAAGAACCACTGCATAAACCACATAATCCCAGCATGGCGACAAATCAGTTACACTAGAAACGTAGGGAGTTTGATTGACAACCTAACAGCCAATAGATAAAGAGGGAGCCTTGTTTTCTATTGGCTGATGTTTATCTGGCCTCACTACGTCCACAGTTGATAGATTAAATTTTTTTATTTTTTTTTGGTCATCATAATTACAAGGCTGCTGCTGCGTCTCTGTAATGGTATTTTAAACTTTCATTTCAATTTGAAACAAAAAAAAAATCCTCCATACAACCTTTAAAGTGTCCTCTTATGGAGGTCCCAGACTTTCAACACAAACTGAGCCAGCGTTAAAACATTACATTTAAACAAATACTCCAGTCTCTCCTCATCAGATCAGACACAGCAAACAAACAGTAAGAAACATTAGGCAAACAACTGAGAGCAAAGGTCAGGATATAAAGGACAGTAGGACAGAAAATACATTTCATTTTCAAAGTTCTTTCACACCTCAGCTGGGCACATACTGATCTTTAGAGTGACGTAAAGTTCAGGACCAAAACAGTCTTTAATTAAAATATATGTTCTTAATTTTGGTTTACATAAGATTTCACTGTGCCACTTCTGTTTGTACGTGTCAAAATAAACGTTCCTAGTTTGTTTAACACTACAGATTGAACTTATTTCTATAAATAAACTTGAGATGTGCAGTCTCAAAAATGTCCTCAATCTCTCTACTCCAGGACAATTTATGTAACAAACTCCAGTTAAACACATGTTTCGTAATACAAGAAGCAAGATGATATGTATCCTACCTTTTGTGTGTGTGTGTGAATGTGTGTATGGGTGTATGTGAGTGAGTGAATATGTGTGACTGTGTACGTGTATGTGCGTGTTTATTAAGTCATTATTATCTATTATTTATCTATTTATTTTGGTGAGG